AACCAGGCTTGAGTGCAATTGTTGGTTATGACAGGACGATTGGTGAAGTTGAAACTGCAGCTGAGTTGGCCTGAGAAGCCATTTTGAAGACAATAAAATGCGAAATTCACTTGGATTTTGAGGTACACTGATTTGATTGTGGAAGCCTTCGATTGTCAGTCCAAACTCATCTTATGCCATCTAGGATACCGAGATGGAAGTAATCAAGTATTTTTTATTCGTGTCGCGGTTCGACTCCCGCTGAGGGTGTTGATAAGACCGATGCGAGGTCGAAACTACAGTCAACTCCTGCCTGGATGAGAACAACTTTTGGGAAAGCAAGGCTATGTGAAATTCTATAGAAACGTCACTCAATTCGTATCATTGTGGGAAAATTCTACTACCAGTCCTTCATCACCTTACACGAAATAGGGTGAATAGATCTCATTACAAGTATTTTTAGTTTAACTTATATCCGGTTCTTTTGTTGTTATTTCCGTCATGCGTAAGAATGGTATGTATGCTAGGGCCGAATAGCCCCATTGATCTAGGATTCGCTTTGAGTGTATGCAAGAATGATACTTAGCTCTGATGAGGTCATTGCATCTTGAACTGCGTCAACCATCACGTCATAATGATTAGTATCAAATGACCAAAGAGCGACACAAATTAAAGCTGGTAGGCCAGATACTCTTTTATTCCGGTGCATTCCCACCAAACAAAAGAAATCACAACAGACAAAATTGGCCTCGAGTTGGTGAAGAAGTGAAGCTACCGCACTTGGTGGCTTTTTGAAGCAAAGTCGATCTCTTAGAAAAGGTGTTATAGGATCACACATGGATTGTATATGTCCATGAAGCAGAGCTAATCAAGCGGAACCCTAAGTCTTACTCTGTTCTCCTTCTTAACCCACTATTACTTCACCAACACAGGAGAGGATTCGAATTCCAGTGCGTCTCTGGGCGAATGTGGCATTCAAGCGCTAACATTGTGATTGTCTATACAGCATGTTTTTTGATGCATGTGAAATGGTGTGTACCTTGGTCTGCGTCAACTAAAACAACACAACCCTGTTACAATTATAGCAAGGCAACATAAATCCCTCGTAATGTTTACTTGAGAGCTACTGATCAATCTCTTCATCAGGCATCACGTCAGTGCTATCTTTGGTGCTTTATCTAAACCCTCTTCATTTCGGGATTGATGGGGTAATTTTTTGAGTTTGGATAAGTGTGAGTTTGGGTGTATATATATATATATATACATGTGTGTTCGTGTGTGCGTGTGTGTTTGTGTGCGTACAATACATGCGCAACGAAGCGAAGAATGTATAGCTCACCGACGACGAAGATGTGAGATTCTGTTTGGTATTTATCTGACTATGTAATGGAAAGGGATGATATAAACTTTGATTCGGACAAACGGACAAATGGATGCTTGAGCAACAGGACAGAGATTTGGGCTGCCGATGATGTAGACATGAGGAGAAATGAACAAAAAAGATGGTCAGCAAAAGTCGAATAATGCTAACAGAGTCGATTTAATGACCAACTGCTTCAAGAAGTTGTAAAACTTTCGCTAACTTGAGCGGGACCTTTGTGGGCTCTTTGGCACAACAGAAATGGCGGCTGAGACAAGCCAGGAGGAGTTGGGGCCTAGTCCTGGCTGAGTGAAGAGCTGCCCCACTGGTACGACTGAAGGAGTGGATGAGCTGCAGATGTCGAGAAAAATCAAAGAATGCTATCCTTTGCAATTATGAGCTGCACCAGCATCTTCATTATTAATGAATCTGAAGTGACTTATGCCTTGCTCAAATAAAAGGGCGTCCATCTGCCAGAGTGACACTTCGTTGGGCAAGTCGAGACAGAGTTAAAGGGGTTGCGAAGACCGTTTCTGGTTGGGATGGCGGAGACGAGGGATTGGGCTGGGCAGGGAAATGGGGACGAGAGACGAAGAGGAAGGTAGAGAGGGGAGGGAGTTGGAATAAAGCAAGGAAGCAGGAGGATGAGGAGAAAGAGGAGGAGCACGACAGCCGTTTGAGGAGAGCATAAATCACAAAAACGCTTAGGCCAGACAGGCTTTCTTGCCATTCGACAGATAAAGTAAGTGCCATCCCAAATTGTGGCAAATGTCATTATTCAGCTTCATTTGGGGGGCTAAACCACCCCCAATAACAGGCCTAATGCATTTGATCTCGACGTAGCGGTTTTGTGATGCCTTGGCAGCAGATTTGTTCGCGTTTCCCAGCGAGACGACCTGCCTCTGGCAAGCATTTTACCGAAGAACTTCCCAACTCAAGTCATCTTCGCCAGTCGAAATCTAGCGCAAACTTTAGCATATGTCGTCGTTACGTTGGCACAAGGACTCGACGAGTGCAATAAGGAGCGCAGTTTGAAGAAGCAAGAGTTTGTGACGTCATCTGATGGCTGTGAAAACCGGCAAACAGCTATTTGAAATTAAAGGTATGAAGACCAAGATGGTGTGGCCTTTTGTGCGGTCGCAGTCTCCTTTTGTTGTATAGAAGTTGTTTGACCTTGATTTCGCAACATGGTAATATTGGTAGGAAGACTTATTGGAACGCACCTAGTCCGGGGTCCATTGTCTGCATAATCATTTCCAAAGTTGTACCGTGAACGTGGTACATTGCCAAACGTTATTTGAAATGATGAAAAATTGACTATTGGTAAGCAACTGTAAGGACTGATAGGAATTGATGTCTCGGTCTTGTCGCTTAGCTTCATAAACAGTTTAGGCTAAATGTAAACAATGAACTCCACCAACTCAAACGTAGACAGGAGTCCTATTAAAGTGGTTCAAGGACAGACGCCAACATTGTGTAACAAACGGAGGACTGGAAAAGTGTAAGTTGAACACTCTCCTTCAGCGACATGATAATCCTCCGAATGCACATGGTCTGCCCAAAATGCATAAAGTTGCAGTTCCACTTAGAATTATTGTCATTAATAAGGGCAGCGTGATTCATAAAATTTTACCAATTATTTCTCACCAGTTAAAACAAACCTCCGAGACGTTGAAGATATCAGCTAACAATTCTTATGAATTCGTTAACTTAGTCGACGAGCAGGAGATAGAAAGTGGAGATTTTCTGGTAGGTTTTTATGTTTGGTCTATTTATACTAACATTCTAGTAACCGATGCCACATAGGCTTTGCAATCAACACTAGACCACACTCAGAGATTTTAGGGAGTACAAATTAAGTAATGTATCAACAATGGCACTGCCCAACCTTGCGATGCACTGTACATATTGTACCTTTGTTGGTAAATTGTACGAACAAACAGGAGGTTTGGCTGTATGAGGCACT